AAGACACTAGCCTTGGCCCATACTTCAACGAATGGGCTCTCCTACGTCCATCTGAGCGCGAGAAGATAGTAGATGCGGGATGCAAGAGTAGGCTTCTGCTACCGGTTCGCTGCAAGCCAACATGACGAGAGGAGGACCTTCCGCAACATGATTCGTGTCCCCATGTAAAAGTGTTGCAATGTGTGGTGTATGAGGACTACATTGGATAAGAGTAGCAGCTATGTTGGGTAATATTCAGTGCACGGACACCTCACTCTTGTATATGGGCAAAATTCTTCTCCTCATCAGGCCAACACCGTCTTCAATACGCAACAATCAGACCTCAATGCTAAACAGGAGCTTTAGCCCATTAACTACTGTACGCTCACAATCACAATAAAAAGGCAAGCGAGAGCATCACGATAATCAAAATTCCGATAATCATTTGCGAGACTAAAATGCCCTGGCCTGGCGACCACAAGGAACGCAAGTGCATGCGCAAGCCGGGCCAACAACTTTAGAAAATATGCCCATATTGGAGTAAATTCTAAGCCTCCCAGTGTCAATGAGAGCATATGAGGAGAGAGATCTCGCCATGGTGACTTTTGCTCGCCGCTTCGTTTCGCCTCTCGCTCTAGGGACTGGCGGCGCGAGGGTTTAGGCATTTGCGAAGATATGGCTAGTCAAAGAAGATTAGAGTGCGAGAGGGATATAAGCTCTCCGCGTTCTATCTATGCAAACAGCCATCTTGGCCCCTGAGTAGCGAGTTCAAACACTGCGCGACCATGAGTGGAGATGAGCCGCACATGTTGATGGCCCTCTGCGCCTGGTTGGGCGTTGCTGCGATTGTTGCCACATTTTAGTCTATAAATGTTCAAGATAGGACGAGAAAACTCAGCAAATGTCAGCGAAGCCACCCACTATCAAATTTACGACACTACGTCTACCCGCCTGGAGGGTGCGTGTCACAGATTTCTTCGAAATGGCACAACGAACAGTCTGATTCGAGCGAAATCACGGTCTGATGTAAACAATCTTTTCCTTTTATTTTTTATTTTGTTTTGTAAAATCTTTTCTTGATTTAGTACCAACGGCATAGCATGAGATTCGTTGGACGGACGACCTTCATGTACACTATAATCTTCGAGCGTAGGATGATAAGATCCTAGCTATTGTTTGCTTTGGTGGGTCTGTGAGGGCGCCAACACGTCGAGTAGTTTATTTATTTATAATTTATTTATTTATTTATAATATTTAACGTCGTGCCCGCGCACAGTACGTGAGTTCCTCACGTACCGGTTAGCCCAGTCTAAATTATACAAGCCGACGTCCGTTGAGCTCGCCCGTCTGAGGCGACGCGCACTGGGATATCTAATAGCTTCACGGTCCGGTCATGGCGACTTCGCGGACTACCACCGACGGTTTCAGCATGAAAACGCCATTCTAGCCTGCACGTGCGGAGAAGAGAAGTCCCCTAACCACTTTCTCTATTGCTACCTCGGGCAATACCAAGCTCAGCTTCACAGGGCACAGAATTCTAATCCCAGCGTATCCTGGGCACTTGCTTCGACGAAGGGAGTTGATGCATTCAATAATTGGGTGCGTGTCATAGATTTCTTCGAAAGGGCACAACGAACAGTCTGATTCGAGCGAAATCACGGTCTGATGTAAGCAATCTTTTCCTTTTATTTTTTATTTTGTTTTGTAAAATATTTTCTTGATTTAGGACCAACGGCATAGCATGAGATTCGTTGGACGGACGACCTTCATGTACACTATAATCTTCGAGCGTAGGATGATAAGATCCTAGCTATTGTTTGCTTTGGTGGGTCTGTGAGGGCGCCAACACGTCGGGTAGTTTTTTTTTTATAATTCTTTTTTTTTATAGACGTCGGGTAGGTTAATTTAGACTGGGCTAACCGGTACGTGAGGAACTCACGTGCTGTGCGCGAGCACGACGTTAAAAATTATAAATAAACAACTAAATACCCGCCTGGAGGTAATGAGTTACAGTCTACAAAACTTGAGGCCTGGCCTATGCGAGACTGTAGCTCTAGTGAGTCCATACAGCTTGTGGCATGGCAGGCGACTAGGACATGGAATGAGAAAGGGAAGAGGTGTTACGGCATTTACCCGGTGTTAGTTGGCTGTGCCGACTTACGGGCCCAGTCTTGCATGTAAGTGGGATGTGGCAAATGGGTCTGGCTATTGCACCAGGTTAGACGCTTAGTAAGTGCTTATGTAAGGTGGTCATCAGCACATTGCTTACATTGGCTCTGTCCAACTGAAGTGTTCTCTTTATAGAAAATATAGATTATTTTGTGACAGCCTTTGCGTGCAGCATCCGTAATTCTCGTGCTTTTACAAGAGGTCATACGGACATGAAATGGCTGGCTCTCTGTCAAACTACGGCTAGTCGGAAGCTGACCGATCCTGGTATTTGGGACTATTAGGTATTTTGTTGATGCATATTGTGAGGTAGTTGTTTTTGATATGCACGTTTCGCTTGGGTATATCCTCGGATTCTGCCTGTTGTCGGCATTAGAATAGCCCCACACCCAGTGGTCTTTGTTGAAGCTGTGGGGTACAGAGAAAAGTCAGGTGAAGGTTCATGGCAGTTGAAGGGTTTTCTCGTTGGGCTCTGGTTCTTTCTGCCTTGGGATACACTTTGTCGATCCTACTAGGCTCGATGATAATTTGTCTCGACCAATTAGCGTTTGGCGAGTGGAGAGGGGGAGAGGTTTGTTTACTGTACTGCTTGAGTCTTAGACTACCTTATACATTGGGCTCCTCTCTAGCCCAGGCCACACCTTGTACAGTGATCTTTACCTCTTTTGTTACTCGAAAGATCATTGATATATTGCCCATAATCATTAGCCATCCAGCTCAGTGTTTACCCGTGGAATTCAGCCACCTTTCCTTCGGAACCTTCTACTGTTGTGATCAGACCCACTTATAGATCACACAACTTGGAATGGCTAGTACTGGGCAAGTGAACCAACAGGACAAGCGACCCTGCGTCAATGATACGTCATCGGCACACAGCAATGACAACACCAGTATCTCAACCATACATGATTATATGATAATATGACGCAGGTATATCTAATGACATAGTTGTTGAATGGCTGAATGGTTGGCAGTTATTGCTATTGATGGTATATTGTATGTATTGTCTTTGTGTATAAATACTCGCTACTAGACCTCTGTATATGATCAACCTTTTCCACTCTTATATTCAATAGTCATCAATATAGCAGATCTACAATATATATCTGTCTTCTTCACGTTAGACTTAAAGTGCTATCCTACATCAACCCAAGTTGACTGTTACACCCATTGTGACAATTCTTAGACTTCTCATAACCTCATTATTACAATATCTACCCCTAAAAAGAAATAAAAAGGTAGCAATGGAAACTTTTTTTAAAATCATTTAATTTGTATTCAGCTATAGAGCTATGGCACATGACCGGTGCTATCTATACATATTGGATGTCACTTTTGACGTTAGAGACACTCATACTCTGGATTTCATTCGCAAATACCACTATGAGGTATGTTTGCTTACACAAACAGTCGACCCTCCTCCGTTAGTACCCACCAAAGGGAATTTAAAAACCTTTGATTATCCAAGCATGCCTTCGTCATCCATGCATACCAGCGCCGCGAGAAATGTGGTTGTGTTTTGCCGGATTCGAACCAGCGATCTACTGTCTCAAGTGGGATATGTGTCCAAGCTATCCAGACTCTACATGGCAGACCGGCCAAGACGATGTACCACCGCACCATCCAACCATGGCGATGTTTATAGTGTCGCCTTCACTCTCGTAACCGAAGCTCTAACACGCACAAAGCTCAAGTTTTTAAAAACTCCTTGCCAAAATCCGAAATTTCACGCCCGGCGAGAATCTATCCATCCTCTGCATCATCTTGTGAACTTGTCCTGGTTCCTCTCACGCCCATCCCAATAAACTGTCTTCTAGATTTTTGCGCTACGCTTTGCTTCCTCTGTCGGGTGTATATATCGGCGTGGGTGTGTATCTGGCGACCAGCTGAGGCCAGAGAAAGTCGATAGGTGGTGTGGTCATTGGAATGAGGATGTGCTAGGTCGTAATTGTAGACTTGATGAGGCTTAGGTAGGAGTCGATCTCGTTGGGAGTGAAAATTTGACATGGCGGAGTATGCTGAATCATTGCCTCGTGGACCAACTTCTTTGCTGTGGCAAAATTTGACTGAATTTGGCTCTGGGAGAATATCTCACTCCCAGATTCGTAGAGGACATCGAGTACAGGTGTTCAGTCTTGTCCTCCAGCAATGGAAACTGCGTGTGCGGGAAAAAGACTGAAATAAATTGCAGCCCCAGCCACGCGAGGCCTAGACACCGGGACCAGATGAGGTGCGCATATTCAACAAAATCTCCCTTCTTTGTAACAGTAGAGGCCATCTTGATCCAATCCACCTTCATCGTATCGCGTGCTTGGTGCTCTCCGGAAACTAATCGGATGGCCTTTCCTCCATGATCGTGGTTAGCTTTATGATAATGGTGATAGGGGGATGTGTTGAGAGTTGAAGACGATACAGACGGCAAAAGCGACAGGGAATCATCGTCGAAGTGAGGAGTTTGTTACTCAACCACAGCTCTGCAGATTCTACAGCGAGAGCTTGAGGTTCGTGTGGGACATCACTGACACGTCTTGAGAATAGCCCCCCCGCAGGTGAGCGGAGATGGCCCATGCCACGTACTAGTGTTATTTACTGCTACTGTTAATAGGAGATCCCGCACGGGCTAAGGGGATTAAGAGGAGTCTGATCCATGTGTTTTGAAGAGCAGTCGAAAACAAACACTTGCAACCTCATGATTGCATAAGGTTCTCATATCAACAACTTCCACAAACGAAGTAGTAGTGAGACTTCTCGTGCATGTTTATAAGAATATAATTGTAATCTTGCTTGTGAAATTCACGCGCGCCTTGTGGCTCCGACCACGAGGTGTGTAGAGCCTGAGACAAGGTGTAAACTCATTTTTCTATCGACGCTATGACTCTCCCTTGTATACATGAAATCTTCCACACTCCAGATAATTTGACCATCAATACTGGGCAACAAAGTGAATAATCAGAGTACGGTAGGCAATGAGCGGGGCGCTCAGCGGCCTGTATTGTGACCGATGATGGCGATGGGTGCAATTTTGAGTCTCGGTGTCTCGCTCGGACTCAGGGATCGGGATCCTCAATTGGTTGTATTGCAATAGTTTCTGCCATTTCCCCGGCTGACAGGCGCCCACATCTAGCCATCGTTTGGATGGCTGGCGAGGAGAGGCAATGAAGGGCCAAGAGCTTTTCTGAGCGTATGATGGAATGAGGGATTTGTCATAGCTAGATAGCTGAATACAATATGATTCAAAAAAAAAAGATGGAATGAGGGATTTACAGGATGGTACTTTTTGATGGGAGCTGTATGGGAAGTATCCGAGGGCACATCTACTAGAAAGATATGTTAAAGATTTAATCTGTTTATACCTCTGAGCTTGATGACGGCCAGTAAGACGAAGAATAAAATGATCTGTCATTTAAGATAAAAAGGCTAGAAGTTGGGAGATGAGACCAATATAAAAATGGGTGATAAGCCCAGAGTTAGTATGGGCACTATGACTGTAGTCAGAAGCATCATGATATTAAAGAGGAGTCAAGTGTGCGGTATATATATAAACGTGTCCTATCCTTATCAATTGTTACCAAACCCCGTACTGCCATAAATACCATCCATCTCTGTTATCCATCGCATTGCTGAGTATCAATATGAGTCAATATTCGACGGTATGTTCGTACGGATCTACATCAAGAGAAAAATGTTAACGAGGTACCATTGGCCTGTAAGCCGAAATGACTTGCATATCCCATATCGTCAGACCGAGAGTGGACAATGATATAATTAATAACTACCAAGTTCAACAGAAACTTTTTTACTATCGCCCAACAAATTACATCATCACCGAAAAATTTTCATCCCACATTGCATTACCCATTACCCTTATTTACAAGAATCTTCAATTGGTGCAATGGCCCCAGTTGTTGCATCGTCATCGACAACGCCCTCCAATCCAGGAGGGTAACTTCACCCAAGCCTGCTTGGCATTGTGAATACAATGCAAAAAGCAGAACAACAACGGAAAGAAAGACTGGATATAGCCCAGGAATTTCTAGAACCAATCGACTCCTGGGCTAAGAGCAAAGGAGAGAAACAAGCAGCAGCAGTTGTCGCGACTCTGCTGGAAAACATCACGCCTGTTATCACTGCCTTCGCAGTAGATCAGGCAGAAGCATCTAACTTTCCAAGTAAGAAGCCCCCCACCATGGCAAGCACTCCAAGACCAGTAGTGCCTAGGAAAAATACAGCTGTTGAGGATTACAGCCACGCTCTACCCCCAAGGCCTCAAGACACCAGCTCTCCCTGGGTGACAGTAGTCCGCAAAGCGGCCAAGTTACCGATACCACCAAATGTGCAGGTTCCGCGAAGGCTTGCTCCATCAAGCCACCCGAAACTACAGACTACCCAAAAGGAGGACAAACGCCTGTTCCTTCGACTGGGGAAAGATCACCACTGGCACAAGCTCTCGCCAGTTACAATCAAGAAAACTATAACCGACAAGGCTGGGATAGCAGCCTCAGCTATCACCTCTATGTACCCAGTCAGGTCGGGGATCGCTCTCGAATGCGCATCAGATGCATTGAGAGATACAATTATGAGGATTGCACCTCCCCTACAGGAAGACAACACCGTGATTGAGGAAGCGTCCAAATGGACATCATTGATCGTATCTCATGTGCCATTGTATATTAGGACGCTTGAAGGCAGCATCCCAGTCACCAACGATATGGTGAAGAACGAGTGCCAGGCTGTATGTGGCGCCACACCAATCCAGGTAAGGCCCACAGAAACAAAGCTTGGGCAATACTCAACGAGCTGGATTGTTCATTTCCAACAAAAGCCAGCAAACACATAGTTTCGTCTCTTTGACGAGAGCGGACCAGCAATTCCCTTCTCGTGCCGAAGACCAATCGAGCAATGCCAAAGTTGCTGGGGATTCCACACAACGCGATCCTGCAACCGGAGCCAACGATGTGGGAGATATGGGGAACCCATGAAACATCGGAGTGCCAGGCAAAGGTGTCAAAGTGCTCTAATTGCGCGGGACCTCACCACTCAAACTAGAGCAGCTGTATGGCCCGGCCAAGACGACAAAACGGGATAATTCTGCCCCGTATCCCGGCAGAACTTCACATCATCAGAGAACGCGGACATCGTGATTATCACGCTGCTCTAGCGTACTCTGAAAGGAAGGGTAAGGCGGCTGAAACCGTCATTGCTCAGGACTCAACAATGTCGTGTTAATGTTAGGAAACCCCTCAACAAAAGCACCAAAAGACAAGTACAACACCGTCCACTTTCACCAAGTGAATGTCGGAAGAGGTGGGGAAAACACGGATATATCATTGCAGCAGGCATGGGATGCCGGTGCACATGTAGTCATGGTATAGGAACTGTTGTGAATATAGTGAGCATGACTTGTAAATGTCTATTTACGACAGATACAAGGTCTATGATAGATATCTTGGCAGGGGCATCAAATCACCACGCATGACGAGTTTGAGGCAGAGTCAAATATGCTTGGGTGAAGCATCCGGGTCAGGAAGTCGCAGCCAAGGAGTATCATATATACTTAGTATTGTGTCATAGTTGTGAACCTAGGGTCTAGTGATACGTAGGCAACGGGAGATGTAAATGAGTCAATCAGTCTCAGTTTACGATCAAGTAGTACTGGCGTAGTCATGTGGGATAAAGGCTAGCACAAGAGACTTGTATATGATATAGCGATATCTTCGTTCAGATAGAAGTAACAACAATAATAAGCAAGCAATCAATCGAATATTATCGGGATTCATTATTCATATCATTCTAGTATCATCAATTACACGATAATATTCCAACAAGAACCATGGACAAGAAAGAAAGAGTGGGGTTTTATAACAAAAAGTCACCCTGGCTATAATAGCCATATACCATTCGGAGGAACAGACATCCGGCCCCGCGCGATTACTTTCACGCGCAAAGTTAGTCATGCGACTCAATTATTTCCACCGTCGTCAGGCCCTACATCTGACTACTGATTTGTAAAGATGGGTGGTCTAACCTTCGTCAACGTATGCCGTGCCCCAGGCACTAGTGGAACCTTGGAGCCCCTACTCCGGTGGGAGGTTAGAGGTCTAGTGGTTGTTGGAGGCGATTTCAATTCTGTGTCTCAGCATTGGCAACCGCTAACGACAAATCAGTCCGGCAATGGTAACCAGATTATGGAATGGGCAACAGTCCACGACATGGATCTAGTCAGCATTGCTGGTGAGCCAACGCACAGGGACGGGAACTTCCTGGATCTAACGTGGAGCAACACAGCCGCCATTGCATCAGTGTCCAACCGCTACCACTGTACCTCAGATCACTCGACCATCGAAGGTACCGTGCTTAACCCTACAGTGTCAGATCTCTCTGGAATTGTAAAGAACATTAGTGTCAGTGACGCCAACTTGAAGGAATTTACCCGATGCGTCAGCCAATGGACCAAATCTGGCCCTCTCGACAGTGTTGTCAACATCGAAAACTTCACAAATGATCTCCCACAAGCACTTGGAGATGCGCTCAAGATTGCAGGGAAAGTTCTAGCCATCGAAAGCGGAAGAACTGGGCCATGGTGGACCGATGAATGTCGCATAGAATGGCAAGAGTACAAGGCAGCGAGAGACAACCCTGACCTCGCGAAAGAGGCCCGCAAGAGCTTTAGAGCCGTGGTGCGAAAAGCCAAGCGAGAGTACTGGAAGATGCAAGTGGAGGCAGTGGCGACTGACGCACAGGTGTTCAAGCTCATGCGATGGGCTAAACCTCGACCAGCTGCTGAGCCCCCTCTGCAGATTGACGAAAATCGGTGGCTATCTGACCCGCGAGAGCGAGCTAGTGCGCTACGAGACATTCTCTTGGCAAGATTTAGCGGCGAAAACGACATCTCAACCTGGGAGAATGGACAGGAGGAGCGTATTCCATGGGATACGGGAATATCACTTGATGATGTGACCAGCGCTACCGACTCTATCAATGATACGGCACCGGGAGCGGACAAGATAACGGTACGGTTACTGAAATCCTGTTGATCCCATGTAGAGCCTCTCGTGAAAGATCTTTACCAGGCCTGTCTGAAAATCGGCTACTTTCCCACGGTCTTCATGGTGGCAGAAGTTGTGCTTCTTCCAAAGCCGGGTAGAAATCTGTCAACTGCCAAGGGTTGGCGACCAATCTCTCTGTTGTCGAGTTTAGGCAAAGGACTTGAGCGTCTAGTTGGTAAGAGAATGGAATGGCTGACGATAAGTTACCAAGTTGTTCACCCACAACTATTCGGCTCCGTACCAGGACGATCTGCAGTCGACCTTGCATCCTGCGTAATCCATGATGCTGAGGCGGCCATGAGAAGTGGTAAATGTGCGGCTATGGTCACACTCGACATTCAAGGTGCATTTGATGCAGTCCTTCACAACCGACTGCTCAAACGCCTTCGAGAACAAGGCTGGCCACGATCCCTGTGCCGGTTTATTCAGACATTTCTTTGCCAACGAAAGGCTCAGGTCAAATACCGCGGTGGAATCACAGAAGAGAAGATACTGGAATGTGGAGTACCTTAGGGCCCGCCATTATCGCCACTTCTTTTCATGCTCTACATCGCTGTGCTTTTTGAGGATCATGGTCTAACGAGTAGGTTTGGTTATGCTGACGATGTAGCTATTGTCAGAATTGGAAACACCGCGGCGGATGCTATCTCCGCAACTCAAGACGACCTCGACAGACTTATACTTCTCGCAAGAGAACACAGGATCGATTTTGACCCAGCAAAGTCAGAACTTCTAGTAACCGGAGAAGGGCCTAGAAAGAAAATCAAGGCGGCTGATCTTTCCATCTTAGTGAAAGATCGCCGGATCGAACCGTCACCTCATATCCGGTGGCTAGGAGTCTAACTTGATACCCAGCTAAACTTCAAGCAACACGTACAGGAATGGACTGGAAAAGCTAATCGTCTAGTCCATTTCTTACGACATATAAATGGAGTTCAACGTGGGGCAGCACCCGGACCTCCGATTTGTGCAGTACATGC